CTCCTCTGTGTCATCGTCGTCGACGTCGTTGTATTCGTCGTATTCGTCGTTTTCGTCGTCGTCGTCCTCCTCCTCCTCCTCCTGCTCCTCCACCTGTTCCTCCTCTTCCTCCTCCTGCTCCTCCTCCTCCTGCTCAATCCCTATTCCTTATCATATCAATAACTCCAGCCTGTCGTACCCCGATGTATGCCCCTGAAATATTAAAGTTTCCACATGTTTCATACGCAGAGAGCGGGTAGTTATCAAAACGTAATTATCGCCTGAGCATTGCGCACCTTCGTCCTAAAAGTTTGCTAGCGTTTCACGTATGGAGGGCGGGTAGTGTTAAACATGTGGCTCTCGCCGTAGGGCGCGCACATTCGTCTTAAAAGTTTGCCTCAATCTCACGGATGGTGGGCGGTCCGATTTCAAAATGGGGCTGTCGGAAAGGCTCGCCCGCATTCGGTTTTTCGCAAGTTGCACGGAGAAAGGGCGGCTGTTTGTCAAATGTGTCTTTCGCCTAAGCAGCGCGCGCATTCGTCCTAACAACTTGCACCAGTGTCACGAATAATTGGATGGCGGGGTGGGTGTTCAGAATGTGGCTCTCGCCTGAATGCCTCATCAATTCGTTCTAAAGGCTTGCGAGAGCCTCACAGATGGCGGGCGGGTTCTTCTCAAAATGTGGCTCTCGCATTTGCGCCGCGCACGTTCGTCCTAAAAGTCAGGAGGAGTGTAACGAATAGAAGGGAGCTGCTTTTTCCAAATATGGTCCTCACCTCAGCGCAACTCACATTCGTTTTAACAGTCTGAAAAAAACCTTCACGGATGGAGGGCGGGTGGTTCTCAAAATATTGCTTTCGCCTGAACGCCGCGCACATTCGCCTCAAACAATTAGAACCGTTTGGCGGATTCCTAAAATTGGTCGTGCCCAGAATACAGCAGCTGATTCGCGGCGTTGAATTCCAAGGAATGGCGTGTTTGTGCGATGAAGATATCTCAGACGATCGTCCACAAAATGAGCTTAAATCCGTGTACGGACCTACGGATATGATGGGCCGACGCTGAGCTAGATGCTTACCCAGGACCTGCGATTTCCTCCATGAGTTGATTTTGTATGATTGCCAGCGTGCCCATTGCCGGCGGGAGTGCGAAACGTGAAACGAAAGCAACAAACAACTGACGCAACTCCCCCTCAGATCATCCAGAGGAGACGGGCAAACGAGGGGAGAGGGGAAGGGGGACATGAGGATGGCCAGAGTGACCCCACAATGTAGCAACTGCAACGCACCGTCCTGGCCCAAATCCTTCCTCATAAATCACTCGTCCTGTCCTTCCTTGACCTCCTCCGGCTCCGTCCACCGTCCGTCCGCCCTCTCCCGTCATCCGTCCTCGATCCCCTATCCTTGACCCCCGTCCCTCTCCCGTCATCCGTCCTCGATCCCCTATCCTTGACCCCCGTCCCTCTTCCGTCATCCGTCCTCCGTCCCTTTTCCGTCATCCCTCCTCCGTCCCTCTTCGATCCTCCGTCCCTCATCCTTCCGTCCGTCCGCCGCTGGCCACCGCCGCCGTCGCAGGGGGGGGGCTGCCGTCGCTCGCCAGGAGGCGCGTCGACGGGCGGGGCGCTGTCGGTGCGCACGTGCGGCGGGTCGGCTCTCTCGAGGCCGGTGGCCTGGCTGGGGGCCGGGACGACGACGGCGGCGGCGGCGACTTCGACGTCGTCCTCCCCTTCCTCCTCCGTCCTGTGGCCACGCGGCCTTCTAGCGCAGCAGACCGTCCCCATAGCTATTCGATAACCCCGGCATCACGCTCCTCGTCCTCCTCCTCGTCCTCCTGCTCCTGCTCCTCCTCCTCCTCCTCGTCCTCTTCCACCTCCTCCTCCTCCTCCTCCTCCTCCTCCACCTCCTCCTCCTCCTCCTCCTCCTCCTCCTCCTCCTCCTCCTCAACGTCCAGCCCCGTCTTCCCCACCCAACCTGCGCATTTGATGAAGAGTTCCTGACTCCTCCCCCTCCCACCCAATCTCCGACTCCTCCCCCCAATCTCCGACTCCTCCCCCTCCCCCTCCTCCTCCTCCTCCTCCTCTCTTCCTCCTCCTCCTCCTCCTCCTCCTTCTCCTCCTGCTGCTCTCCTCCTCCTCCTCCTCCTCCTCCTCCTCTCCTCCTCCTCCTCCTCTCCTCCTCCTCCTGCTCCTCCTCCTCCTCCTCCTCCTCCTCCTCCTCCTCCTCCTCCTCCTCCTCCTCCCCCTCCTCCCCCTCCCCCTCCATTTCCTCCTCCCCCTCCTTCTCCTTCTCCTCTCCTCCTTCCTCCCCCTCCCCCGACTCCTCCCCCTCCCCTCCCCCTCCTCCTCCTCCTCCTCCTCCTCCTCCTCCTCCTCCTCCTCCTCCTCCTCCTCCCCCTCCTCCTCCTCCTCCTCCTCCTCATCCTCCTCCTCCTCCACCTCCTCCTCAACGTCCAGCCCCGTCTTCCCCACCCAATCTGCGCATTTGATGAAGAGTTCCTGGCGGGCGCCACGGCGCCGCGACTCGGGCGTTCTGAACAAATCCAGCTGCCAGCCGTCGAACCAATCGCTGGCGCGAATCATCATCATCATTAGCATCATCAGCAGCATCATCATCATCATCATCATCATCATCATCATCATCATCAGCAGCATCAGCATCATCAGCATCAGCATCAGCATCAGCATCAGCATCAGCATCAGCATCAGCATCATCATCATCATCATCATCATCATCATCATCATCATCATCATCATCATCATCATCATCATCATCATCATCATCATCATCATCATCATCATCGACGCGGTAACCCTGAATAGCACTGGTAACGAGCATGCGGACCAAGGCTTTTTCAGGGGCTCCACCAACGCACCCCGCTGCTCGAGTGGGGTCGCCACATCGTTTACCGTCTTGGGTTTCTCCCGTTTCATTGCCAGGTTCATATCGCGGGAGAGCGCGACCCCGGTAACGGCCGACTGCCACTTGCATATCTTCTGAACTGCCATTCGGCCGTCGCCCTCATGTAGACCCGTAAGCCTGTCGGGGGTTTCCGAACACCCGAACCTGTCGCTCTACAGGTATCAGGAGTCCTGGTCCACCCAGGCGTTGATAATGTCGTCTAAGACGTATTCTCCTTTTGCAGAATGTTTTTGTATCTGGGTCAAGGATGCCTTGGTGCATTGTTACCCCTCCGATCATGATTCTGATCCGGTGATGCTCCTCGTCATCGGGTAGCGCCCCACCCGTGGTCTCGAGCTCGTTGTTCAAATTTTTACGGGTTGTCCGATAACCGTGATTCAGTTGGGCGAGCGCATTCAGCAGTTCCTCGCTTCGCTCTCTGAACGTACTACTGTCGCCTGGAAACGTTTCTAAGTGCTGAACAGCTTTGTACTCGCTCACGGATTCGTGTCCTCCACCTCCTGCCCTGGCGTGTCCTGCCGACTGGATTGCCCCCGCTATCTTGGTAACATGTTCCAAAGCACTCGGCGGATGTTGGATTTTTATACATGTTTCGCGATAGCGGCCGGCACCGGCCCCGCGCCGCCCCCCCCCCAGGTGACGTCATGTTCCGCGCTGGCGGGTTCCACGACTGGCTAGGGATGACCGAGGCCAAGCAGGAGCAGCGTGTAGGTGGCGAACTGCACCACGGCGCCAGTGAACACAACAGTGCTCGCGTGCACCGCAGCACTTGTGTACACCAAAGCGTCTGCGTACACCGCAACAGCCGTGTTCAATGGAGCGCCTGTGTGCGCCACAGCGCTTGCGTGCACCGCAACGCCTGTATACACCAAATCGAGCGCGTACTTCGCAGCAACCGTCTGCAACACAGCGCCTATGTGGACCACATTGCTCGTGTGCACCACAGCGCTTGTGCACACCACAACGCCCGCGTACACCATAACATCCGCGTGCAACGCACCGTTGGTGTACACCACAACGCCTGCGTGCACAAGACAAATAGACGAAACGCCACGGTGCCATGCCATAGCGCCCCCATGCCACAGCGCCCCCCATCGAACTGCCTCCACAGCGCGTCACGTTCCAACCGAATTCATTCAGGAGGGCGCCGCCCCTGTCTTTATGCACGTCCCGATCACCAAGGCACGGCACCTCCTGCTCCTCCTCCTCCTCCTCCTCCTCCTCCTGCTGTTCCTCCTTCTCTTCCTCCTCATCCTCCTCCTTCTCCTCCTCCTCCTCCTCGTCCTCCTCCTCCTACTGCTGCTCCTCCTCTTCCTCCGCATCCTCCTCCTCCTCCTCGTCCTCTTCCTTCTCCTCCTCGGGAACTCGTAGATGCCAGAGGCGCTCGTTTTTCCATGAAAACCCCGTTCCAATCCGAATACGAAACGATGTTGTTTTTTGTTGTCCCAACGATTCCCTCGAACGTTCTATACACAACAATGGTGTTGCGTTGGGCATGGTTGCTGTGGTGCACACGTACGACGTCACAAAAGCGCTGTGGTGCACGCAAGCACTGTGCTGTACACTGGTGTTGCGTTGCACCTGGGTGATGTGGTGTGCGCTGGCACTGTGGTGTACACAAACGCTGTGGTGCACGCAGGCACTGTGGTGCACACTGGCGCTGTGTTGCACGCGGCTGCTGTGGTGTTCACAAGCGCTTTGGTGTATACAATCGCCGTGGTACACTTAGGCACCGTGGCGCACCCTGGCGCTACGTTGCACGCGGCTGCCGTGGTGTTCACAGGCGCTGTGGTGTACACGAGCGCTGTGGTGCATGCAGGCATTGTGGTGTACACAGGCGCTGTGGTGCAGATCGCCACCTACATGCTGCTGCTACCCGTCCTCGGTCATTCGTACGCATTCCCAGACGCCGCTGGCGCGAAACGCGACGTCACCGGCCCCCTCCCCCACCCCCGGTGACGGCCGTCATCGCCCCGGAATAACAAGCATGCTCCAGTCCTGGTGCAGTGTGGTCCTGCGCTCAAAGAACAGTTTCATGCCCTCGTGGTTGGCTTTGGGCGCCGTGCCAAAGTACCTGAGGTCCCTTTTCTCGCAACCTGCATTGCACAGTTTTGCGAACTGGTTTGTGCATAGATGGTGCCAGGCTTCGAATACGGCAGGTTCGTGTCGTGCCGACCCCAGCGTTGGTTTTTGACACCGCAGGGATCGTTCAACCTTGAACGATCGACCGTCTCCGCAACGTCCGATCGTTCAACATCGATCGATTCTGGGTCGCCGGCGGCGTTCAACCTTGAACGCCCGCGCTGGGGTCTCCGACGGTCGACACGACGCAAACCTACCGTACTTCAGGTCACGATACGTTGTAACCCGAGTCGCTGTTGCCGGGGTCCACTAGGGTAGCTGCAGCGGCCGCCGCTGCCATCTCTGATCTGGGACACGTGGGGCGAGCCACGGGCTCCGCTCACATGAAAATCTGGCAGAGGCGTTTTTTTTTCCCAAGAAGGCAGCACAGTACTGGGGCAAAATAGTTGCAGAATTGCGCCCGGGCAGCGAAAAACAAAATCTGCCCCCCCCCCCCCGGCGTGACACATTTGCTATACAAATGAAAGATCACACTGGCCTAACCTGCTCACCCAGTCGGAACGCTATAAATTAAATTCCTCCTCCTCCTCCTCCTCCTCCTCCTCCTCCTCCTCCCCCTCCTCTTCAACATCATCATATACCCTCCTCAGCATCACCTCCCCCCCACACTCTCCCCGCCCACTCCCTCCTCCCCCCCACCCTGGTCGAATTGTGGCATAGATGGCGGGCCCGCCCCCCTCCCTCTGGGGCCTGCAGCAGAGCGCCGATGCGCCCGCCCTGCCTCTGCACCTCGCCCTGGAGAGCGGCAATGTTGTAGATCAGGTGGCTCTTGGTCGCGCCGAGGTCTCCGATGACCTCGGGAAGCCCCGTCGCCAAGACACCATCATGACGGGGAATATGTCGACCCCTATCCCTGGCGTCGTGGGGTTCTCGAGTGGACCAGAAGTTTGGAGCCCAACCCTGGGATATACCATGGGGGGGCGTCCATCCTCGATAGGGGTGCGTCCAAATAGCCCCCTCTGGGGGTGTATCCCAGGGTTCCTCTCCTTTTCTGAGCGGTTTTCGCTCTCGTCGAACAATCGAGGGTTCAGGACGAAAATCGCCTGCGACATCAGAACTCGGGAGCGGCCAAGAGGGGGGTGTCCAAAAGGGGGGGGTGCAAATCATCACCGGCGGCATGTGCGCTGCCCAGCGGGGGGACCAGGGACGTAATTAAAGGAAGAAGAGGCGCCATGAAGTCTGAGGTCTGAGGAACTATCATGGCCCCCGCCATGATATCCACCCCCCCTAGTCATCACCCCCCTCTTTGCCGCCCCCGAAGAACGCAGGAGCCGGGCACTCGAGGAAGAGGGCCCCGGGAAGTGTTTCGCCGCTCTCGGGCCCCCGGCCCCCCGGGAAGCCCCCGAGGGGCCAGGACCAGGCTCCGCCACGACCAGCGGATCGACGGGGGCCCCGTCTGGCCCCTCCGACGGGGGAGGGCCCAGCGGCGCGGACAGCGGAGGAGGGCGCGGGCACATGGCAGAAGGCGGAGGCCCCCGGGCCCCGGGTCCCTCCCTCTGCTGCGCGTCTCGAGCGGCGCGAGGCGCAGCGACGCCAGGCTCACTGCGCGCCCTCGCGCCGCCCCCCCTGGAGGAGGCAGCCAAGGCCAGACAGCGGTGCGCGAAGCGTTGTTATCTTCGCGCCAACCTCGGGCGACGCAAGTGACCAGCGACAAAAGCAAGCGGTCCAATATACCGCAAGAACTGCTCTTCGCCGAATGACCCGAGCACAGCATCTGCCCGGCGCGGGAGGCACCAGGAGGCCCTGGGTGGCAAGGGTGGTCGTGGGGCCCTCGCGCTTCACCTCCCTCTACTTCAGTTCCTGTGTCATCTCCTCCTGCTCGTTCAACTCCTCGTCCTCCTCCTACTCCTCCTTCTCCTCCTCCTCCTCCTCCTCCGACTACTCCTCCTCCTCCTCCTCCTCCTCCTCCTCCTCCTACTACTACTACTACTACAACTACTACTACTACTACTACGACTACTACTACGACTACGACTACGACTATGACTACGACTACTACTACTACTACTACTACTACTACTACTACTACGACGACGACGACGACGACGACGACGACGACGACGACGACGACGACGACGACGACGACGACACGACGACGACGACGACGACGACGACGACTACTACTA